TAAAATAACAAAATTAAAATTATATAATTATTATAAACTAGAAAAATTAAACACTGATAGTATAAAATTTCCTTTAAAAATTATCAAATAAGATTTACTATCCTAGATGTTTTCACCAATTTCTCAATTTTGTGAAATCCAAAAAGAAAACTAAAAATATATATTTTTTTATATTTTTAACAAAAAAAAGAAATAAAAACATTAACAAAATCTTTTTTTTTTTATATGTCTAGTGCTTGCATGGATAACTGTATATTTTTAATGCAGCTATTAATTTTTTTTCTCAAAAAGGTAAATTATGCTTTTTATTAACTAAGTATGTACCATGATAATTATTCTAAAATATTATTTGATCATTATCCTTTAAGCACTTTATATACTATATATGTTTTATCATTGTTTTATTAATTGGGTGTTCGATGACCTTGCTAGAGTACTGAACAAACAAATTAATAAAGAGTATGTAGAGTAGCCTATACGGTTTTTATGTATTTATATACATATTTTTAAATGGTTTGAACGAGCGATCCTTAATTATGTAATCTACTTCATTCGGCATTCTTTAATTTCAATAGGCATTTATTTACTTTAATAAAAATCCTTATTTTTATTAAAAATTTAAATCCTTATTGAACATTGATTATTAATTAAATGTAAATTATTTGTTTCTTTGTTATGAGTTACATTCAGCAATTAATGTATATTGCTGTTGAATTAACAAACATAAACAATTATTGACAATACAAAATATTAAATAAATATTAATTACATGAAAATTTTATTGTTATATGTATAAATTTTTCTTTTACAAAATTCATCAAAATCATATTTCATTCCCAAAAAAAAAAATTCTTTTTTTTTTTTTTTTTTTTTTTTATTTATTGGTAACGAATCCTTTTCCAATTAATTTTTTTTTTTTTTATCTTTTTTTTTTCCTGACCGTCTTTGGATTTTTTATTTAAAAAAAAAGTACACACAAAAAAATTGATCATTTTTTTTTTTTTTTTGTGTGTGCATGGTCAACTTTGTATTCTTCATTTAACTATTCCTTTTATTTTCCGAAAAGGTTAATAAAAGCTTTTATTAACCAATAATATATAAAAAAAAAAAAAAAAAAAAATTAGAATAAAAGTAATTCATATAAATTTGATAAAATTTTTAGGAAATATTAATATATATAAAAAAAAGATATATGAAAAACTCTGAAAGAAATATTAATATTATATATATATATATTGAATGAAGAGTTAAAATAAATTTTCAGAAAATTCAATGAAATTTTGTTGTGTTTTTATATTATTAATTTGTTAATTGCTTATTCAATGACTTTGTTAGAGTATTTAAGAAACATATTAATAATGAGCACGCGAAGTTTCTTAAAGTTGCTTTTACTAATTTAATGAAATTAAATATAATTTTAATTATATAAACCATTAAAATTTTTTATATATAATCTACATTATGAGCGATTATTGTTTTTAAGAGGCATTTATTTATTTTTATAAAAGTCCCGTATCTTAATCAAAGATTTAAATCTTCATTAATTAGTGATTTTAATAACATATATTTTACTTATAATGTTATAAGTAATATTTAACAGTGCAAATTCATTACTCTCAAATTAATAATTATAAACAATTAATAGAAAGCAAATTAAATCATATAAATATAACAAATCCTAAAAATTTATTATCTTCGTAGAAAATTTTTTCATAAAAGTTCAATGAAAAATCTATTACAAAGAAAATATTTAGTCAGTAACTTTTTCTTTTATCTTTCGACAAATTAAATAATTTTCAAAAAAAAAAAATAATAATATATTTTATGCATTTTAAATTACAAGAAGAAAAACAAAAAATATTAACTAATTTTTTTTTATCTATCACTTACATGGTGTTTTATTAACTGTGTGTTCGGTGATTTTACTGGAGTTCTGAACAGACCAATTAATAAAAAGCATGTAGAAGTGTCTCTACGATTTTGTTGTATTTTTATGTATCTTTAGCATGCTTTGAACGAGTAACTCTTAACTATGTGCTCTACTTCGTTGAGCATTCTTTGATTTCAATAGACATTTATTTACTTTAATAAAAATCCTTATTTTTATTAAAAATTTAAATCATTATTGAATATTGATTATTATTTAATTATAATTTATTTATTTATTTCTTATAAGTTATATTCAGCAATTTAAATATATTGCTGTTAAATTAACAAACATACACAATTAGTAAAAATGCAAATTAATTATATGAATATTAATTACGTGAAAATTTTATTGTCATATATATATAATATTCTCTCACAAATGAAAAATATAAAAATTATGCAACTTAAACTCTTATATGTAAACATTATTATTTGTTTAAGATCTCATTTTTATTGGTGCTAAATATTACTCTCGATTTTTCTTTGTTTTTACCAATCTTTTCTTTCAATTAAATAATTTAAAAAAAAATAAATATATTTTTTTTTTATACGTATCTCCATTTATTAAAAGTAAAATATCTCCAAAAAAAAATTAAATAATTTTTTTTTTTTCTTTTTTTTCGCATACGCACAACCAACTACGTATTCTTCATATGGCTAGTCCTTCTTATTACCAAAAAGGTTAATAAAGCGTTTTATTAACCATTGCATGACCAACTATGTATTCTTCATATAACTAGTCCTTTTATTTTCCGAAAAGTTTAATAAAGCCTTTTATTAACCAAGTATTGAACATAAAAAGTAATAAAAAACATGTAGATTAGTATCTTCTAATTTTAACTATTGCAAAATTTAATTAATACCTGAATTAATTAAAATTTATAGAAGTAGTTAACACAGTTGAATGCCTATCATTTTAGAGACACATATTTACTTAAGAAAAAGTTCTCATTTTTTTCAAAAATTTAAATACTCATTAAAACTACTTGTTATGCATAAAATAAATTTTTAAAATGAACTAGCAAATTTAAATTAAAGATATTAACAAGATTTTAAAAGCGTATAGTTAAATTCTAATAATATCAAAATTTTTTCTATACTAGTTTTAAACATCAAATTTTATATCCAGTTGACCCAAAATTAATTAGATTAATAAAAATTAAATTCTACACAGATGACCTATTTAGTTACCCAAACTAATCTTTGCATCAAATTATCATCTGAAGAATAAGTAATATAATATTATAAAAAGATACTCAACAAAAAAAATAATTTACAGAATTAAAAAAAAAATGTAATGAATTTTTAATTTTTTTTTAA